GGGCCTGGCGTCACAGCAGCAGAAGCCGGCCGGAGGGTGGTCCTGGCCCTGCGCTCTGCCTTATCTATGAGCTCGTGACAAGTGCCTTCTGGGGGACACCCTCACATCCTTGGGCAGATGGGGATACTTTCCGTGGGGCTCTGGGTCCTGCACCCGTGGACGAGGGTTCTTGCTGTAAACAGTGACCTTGCCTCTGGGGTGCAGTTATGATACGACCACCATCTAGGTCATGCCTGACCCGGCTCCAGGCGGCAGCCCCTTGCAGAGAGGGACAGTGTCTCATCTCCCCAGGGCTGGAGCACGCTGGGCGTCACACGGTGTTACCACCCACGATTGGAATGGAATTGAGCGCATCCGGGCCGGACCTGTGCTGGGCCGGGGTCTGCCTCCCCTCCCCCCCCATCCCGGGGCGCCCCCTGCGGTGCCTCTAGCTCTGCAGAGAGCCGGACGGGGTTGCCAGGCCCTGGTCCTCGGGCCGAGCTGTCCAAACGCCAGGCAGGCTCTACCCCGTCCCCTGACCCTCCTCCAGGCCTGGGCTTCACATGGGGTGAGGTCATAGCTTATGTCACTTGGGGACCTCAAAGACCATCCCAGGCCACACCTCGGCCTGCGATAAGACTCATCAGCCCACATCAGTGGGTGACTCAGAGGGTGGGGTGGCCGGGGGTCAGTGACCTGGGAGCATCTGTCTGCCGTCCCCTCCCCTTGGCATCCACCACACTTAGAGGAAGCGAGTCCCTCTGAGAGGGCGACCTTACCCTTCCCGGGGGGGGAAGGAAACCTGGGGGCCTGGCAGGGGGCCACTCCAGGACCCGGGGACTGGAGGGCCTTCCTGAGTGGGTGGCATTCGAGAGGGGCTCCGACCACCAGGGCAGGGGCTGCAGGAAGGGGGTGCAAGAAAGCAGGACACCTGGAGGGACAAGATGATCCCTCAGCTCCCGGTCCTTCAGGGTCAGCGACAGAAAGCCCCGCTCCAACTGGCCTCAACAAAAGGGAATTGACGCGGTGGGCTGGCATCAGGTATGGCCCGATCCAGGGACTCCGAATGTCCTCCGGCCCGTGTGGATTGTGTCCCCCTGGTGCTGGCTGCATGACGGCCACCAGCAGAACCAGGCACCGTGCTCCAGGGCGAGTCCCCAGCAGCCCTGCAGAAGTCTCAGTGCGTCTCATTGGCCCTGGGGGCTCTCCTGTCCCTCCCTGACCTAGTCACGGAGGCGACAGAGTCCGGAGCTGCGTCCCGTCCGTGTCTGATCACCTGCGGGCTCGGCGTTCTCCAGAGGACGATGGTCCCCGCTGGCAGGAAGGTATATCCAGAGACCGAGCTGACAGAGGTGCTGGGTGACCGCACCAGGAGACGTGAGCATCCCCTTCCCAGGCTTCCTGGCAGGGCCTCTGCTCACACACCTCTGATGACGGGGAGCTCACCACCATCAAAGCAGTCCCCTCGGTTACTAGAATGCTCTTCCTTTGAGTTAAATTCTGCTCCTGTGACTCCCACCTTTGGACTCTGCTAGACCCCACAAGGCTGTAGAGAATAAATACATCAGTCCCCTCATGGACAAAAGGAGGCCGTAAACACCTGAGGCCAGTCCCCACTGGTTTCTTCTCTAGTCATTTGCAATGTGACCTGGGGCCCCAGTTTCTTACCTACTGGAGGATGAGAAGAAAGAGGCTTCCTCCTGGGGCTCCCAAGAGCCAAAGGAGGAGATGGGTGGGGTGCTAGGATGCCCCTGGTATGCACACCCTGCGTAATTCCCTTCCCCTTGACTGTGGGTGGGCCTGACCTAATCAGGCAAGCCCTCAAAAGGAACTGGGCCCTTCCTGAAGTCAGAGGCTTAAAGCGTAGAGAGCTTGGAAGTGCGAGAGGCCCAGGAAGCGGGCCGCGGGGCAAGGACCCGGGGCGATCTCTAGGAGCTGAGCAGACCCCAGCTGACAGCCAGCAACAAAATGGGAACCACAGTCCTGCAACCACGAGGAATGAATTCTGCCAACACCCTGAAGACGCTTTCCTCGCTGAGCCTCCGGTCGGGGGTGCTGCTGGCCGACCCCCTGCGAGACTTTGAGCCAGGACGAGCCACAGTGTGCCAGCCTCTTGACCCACGGAGACAGCGAGGCAACGAAGGTGTGTGGTTTTAAGCCACTAGGTTTGTGAGGATTTGTGACACAACACAGAAAACAAATAGGGGGGCGAGGGCTGGGTGAGCATATGGCAGAGGGAGCGCGTCAGAGGAGGCGTGGAGGGGTGGGAGGGCAGATGGCCGGACGAGGGTGGGAGCGGGTCCTGGAGGCGGGGAGGGACCCCACTGCGGCCAGGTAAGAGTGGAGCCGCCCTCAAGCTCTGCCCTGCTCACCCGGCTCTGCCCTCCTCGGAGCTTTTCCTTAAATTCTGGGAACAATGCCACCCAGGGTGCCAATGTACCCATTTCGTGGAGGCAGAAAACTGAGCTAAGAGAGCCTACGTGGCTTTCCCAAGGCCCCTGAACCATTGGATGAAGGACTCAGGATTAGGGAATGGTTGGGTCCGACCCCAAAGTCCGTGCTCTTTTCTTAGCACTACGCTTCTGTTCGTACCTGTTTTATAGGAGGAAAACCGAGGCCCCGGAAGGGCAAGTGGGTTGCTGAGACAACCAGGCTAATCGACATAAGGTCACAGGGACCGAGCCTCTCGCCTGCAGCGGCGCGAACCCTTTCGCCGCGTCCTCCGGAGCAGCTGCCGTTACTGACGTGCTCGTTTCACACATTAAGAATGCGGGGGGGCGCCTGGGTGGCGCAGTCGGTTAAGCGTCCGGCTTCAGCCAGGTCACGATCTCGCGGTCCGTGAGTTCGAGCCCCGCGTCGGGCTCTGGGCTGATGGCTCGGAGCCTGGAGCCTGTTTCCGGTTCTGTGTCTCCCTCTCTCTCTGCCCCTCCCCCGTTCATGCTCTGAGTCTCTCTCTGTCCCAAAAATAAATAAAAACGTGGAAAAAAAAATTAAAAAAAAAAAAAAAAAAAAGAATGCGAGGTCCAATGACGTCCCGAGGTCATACGGCAAGCGAGCCACAGAATCCGGATTCAAACCCAGGCAGCGGGACTGGAACCTCTCGTGCACAAGTTGGTTGGGAACCGGCCGACGCCGAGGCCCGGGCGGGGAGGCTGAGCCAAGATGGGCAGGGTAGGGGCCCGGCTGATGGAAATGATGAAATCGGGGCCCCCGGCCAGCAGGGCTTGGGCTCTTTCTTTTAAGACAACAACCCTCAGCTTTGTCTGCAGCCCAGGCCCTTCTTGGAAATCACCCCGCCCTGCCCCATCCCCCACGGGGGAGGTGTTGGATGTGACCCCTCTCCTGGGAGGGTACGGCCCCGTCTGTTCCGTCAGGCTCGGCCGCTCTCAGGACCGCCAGCCCCACCCACCGGGCTGGTGGCCGCGGGCCTCCACCGCCTGCCTCCCGGGAGCCGTCCGGCCTTCAGGCCCCGAGGCCCTTCTCCGGCCTCGTGGGAGCCTCGGGCCGGGCGATGCCCCGGGACAGTCACTCTGGCCGTCCAGGGTGTCAGGCATGGGCAAACCTGCCAGGAGCCACGGGCAGGAGTCTGGAACCCCTTTCCCTGCGTCCCTGGGCCGAGCCGCTCTTCAGACCCCGTGAGCTGTGTCCTCCGGGGTCCCCGCGGGCCAGCTGTGCTGAAGGTGAGCCAGAGACAAAGTAGCTCAGAGCTGAGGGCGAGGAGGGTGCTGATGGCCTTCTGGGGCCCCCCTCAAAGCTTTCACGTGGTGACAGGACACAGGTGCCCCCAGGAGCCCCCCTCCAACGGTCCCAGCGCCAAGTCATTTCTGGGCGACTGCTGTGTTCCCTGTAGTTTGAGTCCCCACGTGTCCCGGTGGAGGGTCTCCTACCATTGCCACATCACAGGGAAGAACACCGAGGCTCAGAGAGCTTAAGTGACTCGCCCCAGGTCACACAGCAGGCCCTGATTTGGGGGGCGGTGTGGGCTGGGGAATACCGAAGGTGCTCAGTTGGAGGCTGGGGTCACGCGGTCACAAAGTGACGTGCTCTGGGCCAGAGCTAGAGCCCCCCCCCCCGCCCCACACCCAGGGGTCGTCCCAAGGGGCTTGCACACCTTCCGGGAAGGGAGCGCCTCTCACACACCCCCCCCCCCCGGGGCAGCCTGCCTGCCTCGTTCGTCCAGCATCTCCTCTGTCGGCAGCGCCGCACGCCCCACGTTGTCCTGCCAGGCTTGGGTCCCCACAGCTCCCTGGGCCTCTCAGCCTGGACCCAGCGCCCACCCTGCAGCCGTTTCAGGCTCGGGCCGCAGGTCACGCTGTCTTCCTAAAACTGCTCCCCCCCTTCCCCAGTCCACAGGAGCCAAGTTTCAGGTCCTAGCGCCTTTCAAGGGTAGGCCCTGATTGGCCCAGCACATGGGCATGTCCCGCCCCCCTTCCACGGTGATTGGTTCAGGTGTGGTCCCCTAACCCAGGAGAGTCCATTCCACTTAAGGAGCCAGTTGCCTGAGCTTCCTGCTGGAGGAGATTTTTTGCCTCCAGGCCAGTCTTTTTCTTTCTTCAGATGCGAGAATCAGGACCCGTGACTCTGTAACCATCCGATGACCTTGAGGGGAGTGTCTGCCTTGGCACGAAGCCACATGAGAAGTGGAACTGAGAGGAGAGAAAGAGCAGAGCCTGGATCCTGGATCCTGGATCCTGGATCATGCCACGCCTGAAGCTGTACTCTGTTCTCAGTGAATTAAGTCAATAATCAGCTGGGTTGGGTGTCCTGTGGTTACCCGCAACTTAGATTGTTGCACAGAGGCCGTGTGCAGCCGGACCCCGACAGTAAATATAGATTCACAAGGAGCACTCAGCCCAGGGGCGGGGGTTATGCACCTACTGTCTACGGAGCGCCCATGATGTGCTGGGCACTGTCCCCTTTGTGTGCACACCGGGCCCCCGCTTTACGCGTGGGGACCTGAGGCTAAGGCCTGTGAAGTGGCGGCTGGGGCTTGGCCCCACTGGACATCTGGAACCGGGAGCATGTGCCTGCAGGCGGGAGGCCCGGGCATGGCTGGCGCCCGGAGCTCGCGGGGGGCGCACGGTGTAACCGCGAGCCAGCTCCGTGACGCAGCCGGCTCCCGACCCCGCGCGCTCAGGCTCTGACGCGTCCTGCCTGCCATGTGACTGTCAGAGCCCCGTCTCTCCTCCTTCGCACGGGCACACCCGGCCTCCGCACTCTTGTGCACTGTGCCTCTCGGAGGCTGCCAGGGCACCAGCCGACCAGCCGGCAGAGACCGGGGCCCCGGGCACTGAGTGCCCCCCTCCTTGAGGGCAGCTGCGCCCCACGCCTCCCAGCCTCCTGGACGACGGTCTCTGCCCTCCGCCTACCTGTCCCACCTTTGGCTTTCATCCACCCCCCGACCCGCCCTGCCCCTGCCCCAGGTCCTGGCTGGCACCCCCTCGTTCCCGGGACGCCTCACAGCGGGGACTTCCTCCTCCGTGCCTCCGGGGTTCCGACTGCACACCCCGTCGCTGGCATCTCCGGTTTGGAAAACTGTACCGGCTTCAGTGACACGTGATTCACACGCCACACAAAGGACACGCGTCAGTGCGTTTTCATGTGTTCGCAGACGTGTGCAGGCGTCCCCACACTTAATTTTAGGACGCCCCCGAACAAACCCTGCTCCCGTTAGCTGCGACTCCCCCCCGCCCCGCCCCCCAGCAACCAGTAATGTGCCTCCTCTGTCCCCGCAGACCCGCCCTCTCCGGACACGTCAGGCACATGGAGCCCTACAAGGTGTGGCACCTGTCGGCGCTCTGTCGCCTTTCACGGCTGCACAGGGGGTCCACCGCACGGACACGCGACGCTTGGTTCATCCAGTCACCGTCAAGGAGCATTTGGGAGCGCACTCCCGGGAGCAGAATTGCCGGGGCTCGCGGACCGACCTCCGGAGGAGCCGCCAGCCCGTCTTCCCGGGTGACCGCAGTGCCCTCCGCCCCCGCCAGCAGCGCCCCGGGCTCCCGCCCTCTGCCTCCTTGCCAACCCTTGCTACTTTTCCGTCTCCTAAAAATGCATTAAAAGTCACCCTAATATATGTGAAGGGCATCTCTTTGTGGTTTCGATTTGCATTTCCCTGACGGCTCATGATGTTCGTGTGCTTTTCGGCCATTTGTATGTTTTCCTTGGAGAAATGTCTGTTCAGATCCTTTGCCCGTCCTTAAATTGGGGGGGGCCTTTTGAAATTATGGAGTCGCAGGAGTTACCTGTATGTTCTGGAGAAAAGTCCCTTATCGAATATATGATTTGTGAGCAGTTCTCTCCCATTCTATGGGTTGAATTTTAACCGGTGTCCTTGAGGCACAAAAGTCTAATTTTGATAAAGCCCAATTTGTCCGTTTTTGTGTTTGTTCGCTTGCGTTTTTAGGTGTCATATCTGAGAAGGCCTAGCCTACCCCAACGTCACGAGGACACCTGTGTTTTTCTCTAAGGACGATAAAACCTTGGTGCTTGTCTATGGGCCTGGGACCCCTTCGGGTCATTCTGTGTGTCGTATGAGGGTAGGGGTCCTGCTGCACCCACATGCATCCCCCCTGCACCCCCGCATCCCCTGCACCCCCGCATCCCCTGCACCCCTGCACCCCCTGCATCCAAAGAAGGCACAGATGGCCGGCAGACACACGAAAGATGCTCAGCACCACTCATCATCAGAAAATACAAATCAAAACCACGGTTAGATAGCACCTCCCACCTGTCAGAAAGTCAGCAACTCAGGCAACAACAGGTGTAGACGAGGATGCGGAGAAAGGGGAACCCTCGTGCGCTGTTGGTGGGATCGCACGCTGGTGCAGCCGCTCTGGAGAACAGTGTGGGGTCCTCACAAAGGTCAGAACAGAACTACCCTACGACCCGCTTCAGGGATGGACCTAAAGGAAGTGCGAGCGGGATACGGAGGGTTCTCTGCGCCCCCGTGGTCTTGGCAGCATCATTCACGCAGCCGAGACACGGACGCAACCCCAGCGTCCACCGAGGGACGAGTGGGTAGGGGGATGTGGCGAGTGTGGACGATGGGGCGTGACTCAGCCGTGAGACAGACGAACTGCCGGTGCTTGCGACGACACGGACGGACCTGGGGCGCCAAGCGGAGAGAGACAAACAGCGCACGACGGTGCCTGTATGTGGGTCTACGGAGGCCGAGCTAGTCGGGACGGAGGGCAGAGCGGGCGCTGCCGGCGCTGAGGGCGGTGGGGGTGGGGAGACGCTGGTCCGGGGACACGAACTTCAGCGAGCGGGCGAATGTGGGGGCCTCACCCCACAGCGCGGTGGCCGCACCGTTTACTCGGAGGTTGCACAGAGCAGCTCTTAAAGTTCTCCCCACGAGCACACGGACAGAAGTGGTGATTGTGTGTCGGGAGGGAGGTGAGCGTCCCCGCCTGCCCCTACCCCGCAGGCTCATCTCGGTGATGAGCGGCCACCCAGTCCTGCAGGTGCGAGGACGTGATACAGACCCCGCACCCTGGGTGTTGGTCTTGGCCTTCGTGTGGCCTCAGGGAGACAGCTCCCGCCGGTCCTCAGGCCCCTGCACACTGGGGCTCCTCACACCGGGTGCACACCGGACTCAGTGGTTCTAAATCTCAGGAGGCTTTGCACACCAGGGCTCTGCACACTGGGGCTTTGCACACTGAGCTTTGCACACCAGGCT